TATATAACTGTGTTTGGGTAATATTTGCTTTGTATTATTTTCCTCCCCTTATTTTCAATACTTCTGTTTTACTTTGTTTAGATGTGTCTTTTCTGCTTTAGTGTCTGTTTATCTCATAGGTCAGTTTATACCCCTGGAATTTACTGTGATTGCTGACATATCTGAGCTTGTCTCTTCCACATTATGTTATGTCTTCCATTAAACATGCCTTTTATTAACTTATTTATTCTTGCTTCTCTTCCTATCTTTGTTCATTTATTCATTTTTGGTTTATTTGTTTTTACTGATAATAGTTTCTAGTCTTTCTGTTTCTCCGGCTGTTTTGGAATCTTGAATTTTTAATCTATTCTTTTAGTGGTAACTGTTAATAAGGTTTTAACATTTGCATTTAACCCTGGATTTCTCTCCCCACTTGTAGTTATTAGTATTTCTGTCATGTTATTGCTTATGGCTTAGCATGTGTTAACTATCCACCTACCTTCTTCTCTGAACATTCATCTTGTAATGTTGTCTAGAATTTAATTCCATTCTTTTTAAACACAGAAATTAATGGTTTGCATTTTAATATTCTATAATATGTCAAAATTAATGATTATGTTTTATCACTAAGTATTCTGTTGTTTCTTCCAATGCTCACTTATCTTTGGGGTTCAGGCTAGGTCCTACTAAGTTTATATGTTCAAGTAACTGTTTTAGCTATGAGAAGTAAGCACTTTATATATGCTTCAGTTTATAGGGGCCTTAATTTTGACTTCCTAAGATTGTTATTTAAGATGACTATACAATTCCTGGCAGGCAGTTATTTTCCTCAACCCTGTAAAGATATTCGTCTATAGACTTTGGTTATAAATTGTTGCTGAATAATCTCAATTGTTATCCTAATTGGCATTCCTGTTAATTGATTTTATTTCTTGTAGGATTAAGTTTTCCTTTTCTTTTTAATTTTTACAGTTTTAATACAATTTATCTGGAGATGATTTTTTTTTTTGTTTTGCTAAAATCTATCTTGCCACTTGGTGGCATTTTCAGCTTAAATATTTTGTGGCTTGTTGCTTTTTTTTCAGTTTTAAAAATGATTAGCTATTTATTCCTCTATATACTACTTCTGGGTCATTCCCTGATTGGTGCCTGTTAGTCTATTCTTTGTCTCTTAACTATTCTTAAATAACATTCATCTCTCTTTCTTTATATTGAATTCTGCATATATCAACAGTGATTTTATTGGGAAGTTGGGAAAAGGGTGACCCTGATGCTTATACAGAGGAGGTTATTTTACCTAAAAATTCGCATCTCTTTTTTCAACTATTTTCTTGCAAAAATTTCCTTGATTTCTTTTGTAAAGGCCTTGGAAATCCAAATTAGTTCATTTAAACAGTACATCAGTAACTATGCTAAACCTGGGACTTGAAAGAAGTCTAAGACACGGTCCCAAAGCTCAAGGTTTTGATAATTGAGTGTGGAACGATAACAACAAAAAGAGAATTTTAATAGAGTCTTTATGGTAAGCGCTGTAAGAGTATTACACAGGATGACCTAAAGTTAAAGAAAAGGGCATCTGTTTCTGTCTAGCAAGTCAGGAAGCTGGAAAGATATGATGCTTAAACTGGAAGTTAAAGAATAACATTAGCAAGGGAGACATGACCCAAGAAAACACTTCTGTCCGCCATTTCTCCTCTCTCACAGCAGATGAACTGGGCTTTGACTTCACTGGAAAAGTAAGTTTTTTTTCAAAGAGTGGATGTATCTTCCATGGCCAAACTATGGACCAGTCTGTTCTAGGCACATCATAAGACTGTCACCACTATCCCATCTCTAAATGATCCCACCTTGCATTTTAACTAAAGTCGAGATATAATCTGTTGTTCAAATGTTGGTATTTTTGGATCATAAGGGTCACTCGTTATTCAGGAAAAGCAGACAAAACTAATTATTATAGCTGATCATTTTATGTATCTATCTTAACAAATCACCTAGATGGTAGCCCTTACAAGACGGAGCTTTTTAATTTTTTTCCTTTTTGTAGAATTTTTAAATTTACATTCATTTTGACCAGTACATAATATTTGTATATATTTATGAGGTTCAATGTGATACTTTAATTCATGTATATACTGGATAGCAATAAGGGGTAATTAGAATATCTATCACCTTAAAAAAATTTTATCCTGTCTTTATGGTTAGTGCCTTCAAATTTCTCTCTTCTAGCTACTTTGAGATACACAATGTATTATTGTAAATTATTTTCATTCTGCTGTGCCATAGAACACCAACACTTATTCTTGCTAGCAACGAATAACATAGTGTCCAGTGATGGACTTCTCCCTCTCTCCTTTCCTCCAGTTTTACCCACTCTCTGGTAACTACTACTCTGTCTCCAAGTCTATGGAATCAACGATTTTTAGATTCTGCTTACAAGTATGATAGTACACTGTTTTCTGTGCTTGACTTATTTTACTTTAACAGAATAAGCTCTACATTCATTCATGTTGTTCCAAATGAAAAGATTTCATGCTTTTTATGGCTGAATAATATTCCATTGTGTAGATTCACCACCTTTATTTGCTTCAAATCCAATGGAGTGACAGCTCCATGGAAAAGAGTAAATAAATACAAGATGAATAATAATAATGGCCACAGCAGTGATTCTGAAAATTATTTTAAATAAGAGTATGCCATGGGGTTGATTTCCAGGCTCACCTAAGTCTAGATTCTAGTACTTTCTTTTCTATACCATCAGAGCCCTTGAGATGACAGGATACCATATCCTTCATTTTGATAGAATTCATGGATTTCCAGAAACATTAAAGAGGGGGCACTTTTTACCAACCTGTTTATATATCTATATCTATATCTATATCTATCTATCTATCTATCTATCTATCTATCTATCTATATATATATATATATTTTTTTAATGTGGTGCCAAGGATTGAACCCAGTGCCTCATGTATGCAAGGCAAGCGCTCAATCACTGAGTCCCCCAACCTGTTCTTCTAAGCTCTTGTTCCTGTTTCTTTTTTTTTTTTAATCCAGGTAACCCACATTTAAAAAAAATTATAGTTGTAGATTTATAGCATGCCTTTATTTGTTCAGATTTTTACACAGTACTAAGGATCGAACCCAGTGCCTCACCCATGCTAAGCAAAAGCTACGTCCCAGCCTGGTAACCCACAGTTTTTAGAAGGATGGGGAGAGAGAGAAGCACTGTATCTATGGCCTCTCTTTCTGTCATCTTTCTTTTTATAAAAACAAAATGGCTTTATTGAGCAATAATCCACACACCATATACTTTACCCATTGAGGGTGTACAATTCGGAGTTGTGCATTCACCACCATAGTCAGTTTTAGAACCTTCATTACATCTTTTTAGATGAAATCCTGACTCCCTTACTGTCACCTCCTAATGCTTCTCTTCTCCCTTTCCTACCCAGTCCTAGGCAGCCATTAATATGTTTTCTGTCTCTATAGATTTGCCAATTCTAGATATTTTATATAAATAGAATCAAATAATATGTGGTCTTTTGCAATTGGTTTATTTTACTTAATTTGTTTCCAAGCTTCCCCATGTTGTAGAATATAATGATGCTTTATTTTTTTCATTTATTTATTTTGCGGTAAGTACTAGGGGTTGAATTCAGAGGTGTTCTAACACTGAGATATACCCCAGCACTTTTTATTTTTTATTTTGAGACAGGGTCTCACTACGTTGCTGAGACTGGCCTCAAACTTGCAATCCCCTGGCCTCAGCCTCCCAATCAGCTGGAATTACAGGTGTGTGCCACCATGTCCAGTGGATTGTTTATTTTTTATTGTCAGATAATTTTCTTTTGTATGGATACATGTCCTTTGTTTACCCATTCATCTGTCAGTGGACACTTAGGTTGTTTCCATCTTTTGCGTATTGTCAATTTGAACATGGTATACAAATGTCTATTGAATACCAACTTTCAAATCTTTTGAATATATACCAACAATTGGAATTGTTTGATCATATAATAATTCTATTTTTTTGAGGAACCATTATACTCTTTTCCATACTGGCTTCACAGTTTTAACATTAACATTGCACAAGGGATCCAATCTCTCCACATCCTTTCTTTCTGATTCTAGCCCTCCTAGTGAATGTGCAGTGGGATCTTGTGGTTTTGATTTGCATTTCTTTTATGGTTCATCCTCTTCTCACATGCTCATTGCACATTTGTATAATTTAGAGAAACATCTATTAAGATCTTTTGTAGTCTGGTGCAGGGCAAATGCCTGTAATCCCAGCTGCTTGGGAGGCTGAGGCAGGAGGATTACGAGTTCAAAGCTAGTCTCAGCAATAGCGAGGTGCTGAGCAATTCAGTGAGACCCTATCTCTAAATTAAAAAATACCAAATAGGGCTGGGGATGTAGCTCAGTAGTTTAGTGCCCCTGAGTTCAATCCCTGGTACCCCCCACCAAAAAAAAAATCCTTTGTACATTTTTTATTTGGGTTATTGGTCCTTTTATTATTGAATCTCTTTCTATTCCACCCATATGCAGTTATGTACTCTCTATAAAGCTAATGAAGCTTCAGCTTCATAGCCCCTTCTAAAACTCTCCATGGATTCAGGAATGGGAACAATGTATTTTTTATAAAATTTTGGGGAAAATTATCTTTAAGATTGCTATTCTTTTCTACTCTGAATTCTTTTCAGATTCACTTCTGTTCTTGCTTTTTGGTTTGGGGGCAGTCACAGAATTTTATTACTTGGGGGCTCCACAAAATTTGGATCTGCTTCTATTCATATATAAAATAAACTCTAAGCCCTCCTTTCTGAAAAGCCTTCTGTTTTGATTCTCAAATGACTATTTTGGGAGTAGAAACAATGGTCTCTACATAAAATCTTTCCTTTCGGCAAGTTTCTGCTCAGGGAAAATATAATTCTCATTTATGTATGTGATGATTTCTGACCACTTAGGGAAGGAGTAGTAAACAACATTCTAGAATGTTCTCCTTTGATTTCTCCTCTCTTTAGCTCCTGTCATCACCACTCCTCTTGAAACTGTGGATGCCTTAGTGGAAGAAGTGGCTACTTTCATGTGTGCAGTGGAATCCTATCCTCAGCCTGAGATTTCCTGGACCAGAAATAAAATTCTCATCAAGTAAGTATTCTGTCTTATTCTGGTAAGCATGTCTGCCGCTACCTTGCAGTTTATCTTTGACATAAATGCAACCGCAGTTCTTGGCAGTACTAAAGTTCACCTTCTGGAATATGCAGTACAAGTTGCCTGTACAGATCATTCTGGGATATGCTAAGTACAAGTTGCCTGATTTTAAAAATGTAAGATCTGAAGTTCAATGAGTTTAAGAAAATTTCCTAAAGGAAAGCAGTGGTTTACCTGACATAAGGAGGTCAGGGAAACCACTGGATTAGAATCTAGAAGGTTCACAGAAATTGTGTGGGGCACATGTTTAATGACCTGCTGAGGAATTAATGGGGACAAACCTCATGTCCTGTTCTAATACTCCAGCAGTGTCAAGTCTATTCTTTTCAGTTGGAGGGACTCACCATGTATAGTAAAGCAGACTTAAATAGATAAAAATCCCTTTCCTCATTTATATTAATTTTCTGATAAAAAATGTTATATTGAAATATGTATAGCAATGTGAACCCCAACATTTCTAGTAGGTTCTGTAGCTTGCATTAGGGCCAAATGCTTTTTAACCCATCTGAGCTAGTAGGACAAAAGTATCAGGGAGTGTTTGGCTTATAAACAACAGAAATTTATTTCTTACATTTCTAAAGGCCCTGAGTCCCAATTCAAGAATCCAGCAGATTACATGAGGGTCCACTCCTTAAGTGCAGAAATGGTCATTGTTTACCTTTGTCCTCACCTGCAGGAAGCTGGGAGGGAGCTCTTCCGGGTGTCCTCTAAAGGGACATTAATGCCACTCATGAAAGTTGTACTCTCATGACTTATCGGCCCCACCTCCAAATACTACCACAGTGAGGATTAGGTTTCAACATATAAATTTGGGAGGAACATAAACTTTGATTCCATAGCAAGGGCTCACACCTGTTTCCATGGATGGGGGTTTATGAATTTGGATGGGACAATAATCTTTCTTTTAATTAGCCTCTCTCTGTAATTTAATGTTTCCTTCTATTATTCTGTTCTAATGTGGAAACCCACCCTGTGCTATAGCCTTCTAAGTATTCCATCAGGCAGGCTGTCCCAGAAGTTCTTGATGGAGGAGACTTACAGTCAAAATTAAAATATTTAAAATAGTTTTTTTTTAGATATCTTTTGAAATCTGGATAGGTTGAAAATTTCCCAAATCATCAAGTCCCGGTTTCATTTTTGTTTAGCATTTCTTCCTCAAATCTTCTTTTTCCTCCTAAATTTTACTGTAAATGACAAAAGAAAGCAGGCCACAGCTTGAACACATTCCCCGGTAATTTCCCAAGCGAAATATCTGAGATCACTGTTTACAAGTTTTGTCTTCCATTTAGCTCAGCTCTCTGCCACTACATAAGGAGGATCCTCTCTCCTTTGTTTTCCAGTAACATGTTTCTCATTTCCATCTAAGCCTTCACCTGTAGTGCTCTGACAGCCATATTTCCCACCGTCCATTCATGATCCCTGAGGTATCTTCTAAGATGATTTGGACTTCTTCTTCCATGCCTCTCACTTCCTCTGAGTCCTCAGGAGCAGATTCATTAACATGCATATTTCTACTGACAGTCACTTCAAGAAATCTAGGCTTTTTTCTAACAGGCTTCTCGTAATTCTTCCCCTTCTGCCCATTCCTCAATTGTGAAGCCACATCTCCATTTTTAGATATTTGCTGCAGCAGTACTGTCCTTCCAGGTACCAAAACCTGTATTTATTTCTGACTTCTGTCTCCATTGTCATGTCTCCTGTGACCCTTCTGCCTCCTTCTTCCACTTTTTAAGGACCCTGATCATTGCATCTTGCACAAGTAGATAATCCAGAATATCCCACGTTAAGATTCTTATTCTTAACATGTGCAAAATTCCTCTGGTGAATGAGACGTTGGGAATCGTCATTCTGCTTATGATGGATATTTGGCAAAAAGAACACTTTGTGTTTGTAAAAACTAACAAGCAAAAGAAAAAACCAAAATAACTCAGTGTGTGTGTGTGTGTGTGTGTGTGTGTGTGTGTGTGAGAGAGAGAGAGAGAGAGAGAGAGA